CGGTACAACACCTCAATTTATTATAAACAATATTGACGAATTAAAATCTATTGATCAATGTTCTACATTACATACATTTACAGCAAATTGTTTTTCATTAAAAATATAGAACTTCATAAAAGATACACAAGAATATCATGATTATCAAGATGCAATAAAAGAAATTTTCTCTGTAGTTGAGTTATCTTCATCATTTATATTATTAGAATTATTAATAACACATCAAAAATGTGAAAATGAAATTCTTTTATTAATTAGTCGTTATGTTATTAAATTAAATTTATTTGATTATTTTTATTCAATATTTTTTGAAAAAAATCCATCGTTTCGTTTCAAACGCCGTTCAAATGCATTAAAAAAATTTATATTAAAAATTTTTAACATCAGTTATAAAAAGTACGTTAATAGAATTTTATAATAAATATATATCATTATTTATTATTGATCAACTCGATATTAAACTTGATTTAACATTAATTTTAATTAATAAAATTTCTACATACTGTTTTATTGGTTATATGTATACAGTATCAAAAATAAAGATGATTTTTTTGGTTTAAATTCTTCAATTACAAAAACATTTTATGAAACAGTTAAAAACAAAAAGAAAAAAAAATATTAAATATTAAAATTGGTTCGACAATGAATGGAAAAGAATTGACTAATTATGTTATAGCAACACGTGCTCGTACATAATTTCTTGATGAAATAATAATTAAATCAGTTAAATATGTTCATTTAATTATCGTATTGCCGTTTTAATTTGTACACAAACAAAAGCAAAACTTTATAAAGTTTTTATTTCTGATGCAAATATATCAAAGGTATAGTAAAAATATTTTAAAATTTTAGCAAAACTCAAATATTATCATTTACAGAAAAATATTTGATTTTAAATTTTTATTTTTTTTAGTTTTAGTTATTCTAATGTCATCAAAAATTAGGTATGAAAGAATGGCTTGATAATACTCATCCAGTAAAAATACTTCTGGAAGAATATTATACAGCTTCTCTGAAAGTGATATTATTTCACAAGGTCAACATTCAAGAAAACTCTATTAACATCAATCGAAGTATATTTTTAAATTATTATCCATCTATTTAGTTTATTCATTGATACATTAGCTGGGCAAGTTATTGATATGGATTTGCAATAATGGAGACATAAAATAGATGTCAAATATTTCTTTTTCTATTACATATTCTATCATTTTTCATTAAAATCTATTCATAGAAACATGCAACTTAAAACAAGCAAACAAAATGATATGCTTAATAAATATAAAACTATGAATTATATATTCTAATTTTCTTATAAAATCAAATATGAACACGTTCCAGCGATACATATGCTAAAGATTGGATTCGAAGTGCACGAGGTATATACGACGAGAAAAAAAACAGACATGTCTGAGCACTTCGTCAAATGAAAAAATTAGTTGATATTGATCAAGCAACTGATATTAATATATTTGGTCGATCATGGGTTGGCTTACAAACATTTATGTTATTTTACTTCTTACTATTGAGAATTTCTTATCGTCTAATAAATGAAAGAATAATTACGAAGTTAGAAATATCTCAACCAACTAATGATTATTTTGAAAAAGTTGTCTCTCTATTGATGAATTTTCCACACTAAGTTATCAAATAAGATTCTTTTTACATATATTTCAACGAAAGATGTTCTCTTAATTCAATGTATTTATGACAAAGAACGACTAAGCAATTAACCAAGTATATAGATGATAAATTATAGGTTATTCTATTTGTTTTTAAAGGTTGTTCTGGCAGTATATAATGGAATCACAGATTTTAATCTTATTGAAAGGAAAAATAGTACATATGAAAAAAAAACTATTCTAATAAAAGTTAAATATAGATGTGAATTATCTTTTAATGTTTATTTAATAAGAAACCATGTTATTCCAAGTGGTGGAAGTGAAATAGGTAAATCAATATGATAATCTCGAGCTAATGTATAATTTTTCCATGCATTTTCTTGTTCAGATACTTGTGCTATGTCTGTTAAACCAGTATAATAAAGTGGAACGACTAAATTTGTATTCACCCTATTTGATGTAGGATTAAATACCATTGCAAGACCTTTGATATCATTTGAATATGGATCAACATGCATATAACTATCAATTGATTGCATATCAGCTCGACGAATATGAATAATATCACGAATTAGAATAGGTCGATATTTCTTATAAAAATCAACCCATTTTGTAACTAATGT